ATTATAATAAACGAGAGGATGTGTATCAATTTTCATTGAATTTAAAGTTGACATCCCAAAACTATTTTACTCTTTTGCTTTAAATATTATTTTTCCGATTTTAAGTCAGTTTATATAAATCTTCTAAAAAAGTTGAAGAAAAAACAATATTATTATTTACCTGAATAATTATAAAATTGATTCATAAAATCATATCTAATCCGTTTAACTTTTTAACACAATTTATAAAATTAAGTATATCACGCCACCCAACGAGTCAAAAAATAAAGTTAGAGTATATCTAATTTTATTTTAGAATTTAGGTTGTAAATCTAAAATAATATTACAAGTAAAAATAAAAAATTATTTTCACCTCTATACTATATATATTTTGATTATATCTTTGAAATGAAATAGAGTTTATCATATACTTTCACTCATAAGAGAGATATATAATATCTCTAAATAAATTATAGTTCCCATAAATTAACTAGGTTGAAAAGCAAAAATAATTCCAAAAGGAAGAATGGTGTGTTTAGGTTGAAATGTGTGTATTAATTTTCTACGGCCACAATATTTGTGTTGGCAGATAATGGTGTAGTTAAATGTGAGTCACATATATATGTATATATTGATCTCTTATAGGATAATATACATGTATAGTAATGTTACTATTTACCAATAGAGAATGTGGTTTAGTTTGCTTTATGCCTACCCCCACCTATTAGTATTTGTTTCGCATATGCTCATAGTGCTGCCCAATATTATATATGGTGGATTCCACCAACCTCAACCTAATTGCTTGTTGGAATCCAAACACGAAACCACCAACTTTAATTCCTTGGCAACGCGCCTCAACCATTTTTATGCTCCTTCCCTAATTATTACTTATTTACTATACTTAATTTTTCTTTATCTTTTAATTCATTCACATTTTTAGTTAATAAGGAGAAAACACAGGAGAGAACTAAATTAATGGTTTTTTAATGTGTGCTCGGTAAGATACCATACAGTTAATTACATCTCAATTCATCAACCAAGACTGATCAAATTGATCAGTCATAAAAAAAAATTAACCAATCATGAATTGAACATATTAGTATAAATTATTTTAGGAGATTAGCTTTAAAATTTATTAATTTAAAGATAAAATATAATTACTCATATTTGAACTTAACTAGATCCATTTTAATTAAAAGTTCACCTGAAAACCTATAAATAAATGTTTGAGATAAGGAATTATGTTATATGCATTTTCTACTACATTAATTACCAATTATTAAATATTGAGACAACTTTGGTATCAATTTACATTTTGAAGGTATCATCCAAATGATTTCGATAAACAATATAATACAACAATTGGACTTCTAGATTGCATTCAGACTTTAAACTATGCAACACAATTTAGACAGTTGATCTCAATTTTATTTCGAATTATAATAATATTATTTTAACTAATCGAAATGTTGATGTCCTATCTAAGGTAATGGAAAAAAAATTCAAAGATAAACTACCAATTCTCCTAACCAGAATTAAGATGAAAAAACAACCACTTAATTATAAGTATTAGTTCCACCGGAATGAAAATGCATCCATTTGATAGTTTTGAATATACTATTTAATTTCAGATATTTGTGATCCACTCTTTCGAATGCAAGACTATATATGTTATTGAGATTTCATTTAACAAATATACAAATTTATTATATTGAATGCAAAGGAATTTCTTTTTTTTTATATATATAAAGAAGGTAAAAGATTTTCTTTATCAGCAAAGAAAAATGTATAAATAGGTAAAAGGAGTACTCTTCAAAGGTATATGACATCCTCAAGTTAAGTTATTTAACTTGTAGTCAATTAAAAAAATTATCTTCTGTGAAAAGGTAACTTTCAAATAGATTGTGTTTGACTATTACAAGTAAAAAAAAAAAAAAAAAGTGGACTTCATCTAGTTTTTAGTACTTTTTATTAATTTGTGTCTCTCTATTTAGTTGTGTTTGGTAAATGAGTATTTTTTTTTAAACACTACTATAGTGTTTTTCAAATGCTTTCGAAAGTTGTATTTTTTTAAATGTTAGATTCTTGCTTTCACCATTTTATATTTATTTATATATTTTATTCTTAAAAGAAGTTTTCTTTTTCTTAACTACATGTTTTACTTTTTGTTATAAGATAATTTGTTTCACTTTCAATCTTTTAATAAATAAGATATTCATCTTATTAGAAAATAAGTTTATTATTTTTTATATTATTTTGCATTAGTTCACAAGAGAGATTACATACTGCACGTGATTTGGTTGGTTTCGCTTGATTTTTGGAGAGAAAGAGACATATTTAAGTCCGGGTAACATATTTTTTTTCTAATGATATGGTCTGTTGTGGCAGGTTGATAAATACGTATGAACCTAAGATATTAAAAGTAATTAGACACAGGGTAATCTCTTTAATTATTCTAATGTATTTGCTATGTAAAAGGGACAACGTAACAAAACCCCACGTAATTACAATATAATAATGTTACATATGTATTGAGAAACTAATTGTTATCCATTTTCTGAAACTATACAAATTATATTTCAAAATATTGATGTCTATTAATGGCATCATGATGAACACATTTGAAATTTTGAGAACTCGTTGTAACTTTAAAGGAAATTGATGTGACGAAGATAGGAAGGAAAAAACTATTCTTATATAAATTTAATTTTTTTAAAGAGTCATTCCTGGTGATATGAAAAAGAAAAACAATTTTTATATGTTTTAGTCACTTTTGCATATAAGATTTTTTTTTGTCCTCTTATTTGTTTGCTTTTGTATTTACACCGTTTTTCTTTATTTTAGTGTCTCCGTCTTTATAAAATTGTAAGAAATATGTTCATTAGTCCACGTTATTTGAGAAATATTAGGCTTACGTTATAATTTTGATTACTAATATCATGGCATAATAGGAGTAAAACTAAATAAAAAAATATAAGAAAAAAGAAAAATAAAGAAGATTATTCAAAGTTAAATATTATTTAAGCAAACAAACATAAAGAAGATTTTTTTTTCAAAAAAGTAATTTTCTTCAAAACATTGGAAAATAAACTTCATGCCAATTATAAGTTTTATTGGGACTAAATATTTCTGTGAACATTTTATTTTATCAGAAATTAATTGTAAGACATTGTTTAGATAAAAGCTGTCAATTATTCTTGACATTTAAGGCATTATTTAGAATGTTAACATTATAATAGAAGCAGTCAATTATTCTTAACATTTAAACTTAAGATATTATTAAATTATTTTAACATTAGGATACTATTAACTTTTTTTTGGGCAAAACACAAAAAATAGCATTTGACACTCCACTTTTAGAACTTTTCAGAAGTAATTTAGTCATTCAAAAAGTGAATTTTTGTATTAAAAGAAGAAAGAAAGATTAAAGAATAAAATAATAAACATAAATGAGTGTAAAAATTCGTTGAATGTCAAATTAATAGTATTTTCTATTAACAGTTATCTCTATATACAGAGCTCATAAATCAACACTTGTAGAACTATTTTTCCATAAAACAAGAATAAAAAAATCCTTAATTTTTGTAATTAGAAAGTAAATTTAGAGTGTTTAAAATACTGTTATTAATTATAATGTCTTAAAAAGGTTGATGATATGAAGACAGAAATGAATAGATTGGTGTGGAAGTTTTGTTAATGTGTTTCCTATAATAATATCAAGCATTTTGGTTTGACATAATTCCAGAAGTGTTAATTGAGAAGACAAGTTGAAGTGAAGAGGTATTCCATAGGCAAATTGCAATGTATAGATGGGGGCATGAGTGGATACTTTTTGCTTGGTGGGAGCCATAAATCAAGTGTTATTTGTTGTAATTGAAATCCAAGAAGGCCACTAATTAGTTAGACTTCAATTAATCATTCTTTTTCATTGCTTAAAATAATTCCACATCGACCATGTATCAGATCCATCCACTATCATTCTACGATATCTGTGTCAGTGACTACTCCCCACGTCACTCGCACTAACTTTTCAATCATACATAACAAAAATGGATTTTTCCTATTACCCTTATCACTCCTCATATCAACCTTCTCATACCAACACAATAATTCTCAAATAATGTAAACCATAATACATGGCGTGTTAAATTAGATGTTCAAATCACCAACCTATGCTATTCGTCATTGCAGATGTATGTCTTCAACTCAATTAAGATATCTCACTTCAATGATTAGGGATTATGACGTTAACATATATGAGTGTGGATCGAAACCAGTAACTTATTTTGTTTATTTTTTACTTTGGCAACTACTTATAATATATAATATTGTTTATAACCATAGGTGAAAACCCTAACTAGGTGGTTTTTTTTCACCCTTCCATGGTTCTAAATGTTGTGGACATTATAGAATCCGTTCTTACGTAACACCCCTTAGAAAAATGTATCATTGATCTGCATGCGTCATGTCTCACCACAATTTTTCCACTTTGTTACCATTGAAATCAAATGTTCCCACTAGTATAAACATAAGGGGCCATGATGAGAGAGAGAGAGAGCAACATGAACTATTTTCTTTATTCTATTAAATATATATATATATATATAACATATATAACATGGAAAATGTTATTTGGACAACAAAAGTTTGACACAATTTTGACAACGGCGACGTGGCAGCTGTGCATTGGCTCAGTGAACCGGGGTGAGGGGTATTTTGGGTTTTTTCTGGTTTGTTTTCAATTCACTGAGCCAATGCACAGCTGCCACGTCGCCGTTGTCAAAATTGTGTCAAACTTTTGTTGTCCAAATAACATTTTCCATATAACATTATTCCAGAAATTGTACTCGGAATATGTTTCTTTTTTTTTTCCTAATGGATAAGGGAATCTGTGGGAATGAAAGTTGAGGTGAGAGAGTTAGTGCCATGCACTACTTCGAAAACCGGTGCCTCTTAAAATTTTGCTTTTGGGGCCTATAAAAGGACCATTGAGCATTCTAAAGTGTGTCATCCACAAACTCACAAGTGAACCAAATAGCTCTTTGGTGAGTTTTCTGTGTGTGGCAAGCTTAGTTGCAAAATGGAAGATCAAAATGGTTCCAGTGGCTTTGGCAAAGGGTTCCGCAAGGCTAAGCCTTACCTTGCTATGGTGTCCCTTCAGTTCGGTTACTCAGGAATGTACATCATCACCATGGTTTCTTTCAAGCATGGCATGAGCCATTGGGTTCTCTCAGTCTACCGTCATATAGTTGCCACTCTCATCATGGCCCCTTTTGCATTTTTTCTTGAAAGGTCTTTTTCTCCTCCTCAAGCTTTTCTTCTCATGCTTTTGCATCATTTAATAACTTTGTTTCTATTCGTGTTAATTTTAGCATGTTGAACGAGTTCTTTTCAACGTCGTTTTTAGACTAAGATTGTTCGAAAACAAACACATAATGTTAATAAACACAAACATACAAAGTTTATGAGAGGAAAAATAGATCCATGCACAAAGCTTTCACGTTCATCACCCCTCTAGCACACAACTAGCACGTACCAAAAGTAATGTTTCTTCCATTTTATGCCTTTTGTAGCTGTTCTTTTTCCTTTAATTAACTTTCGACGATTCATAAGTGTTTGTTTGTTTTTTATGCTCCCTTTTTACAGAAAAATACGACCAAAGATGACTCTCCCTGTGTTCCTGAGACTAGCGGTACTTGGCTTCGTTGAGTAAGGCTCTTCAACCCTCTCAACACGTGTGTGTGTATATATATATATATATATATATTCGAAGTACTAAATATAGTACATTTTGTTTGTTTCTTCTAAAGTCCCTTCATGGACCCAACTGAATTAATATTTGATGTACACATGCATGCATGGTTTTCTGCTATGTCTATGACACCTACACCCTTATCTTTAATATTAATTATTGCTAAATACTACCTATGAAAGACAACGTATATATTCTTCCTGTACGGGAAAGCCCACTATGATAGCAGAAATTATTCAACCCATACACGGGTTTAAAATATTCAATGAAAAGAGTGAAAAAGTTAATTAATAAAAGTCGATTATAATCACCAAATAATTTCATTAAACACTGGCTACTTATGTTTTTCTTTATTTATAGCTCTAGTTGAAAACAAATTTGCAAGAAATTAAGGAAAATTAATTGCATAATAAAATATATCGCACATTAGATATGCGACAACTCGACAATGGTGCTTCACCATGTGGGCCCACATTTCTAGTGGACACATCATACCTCAGGAAGCAATCCACCACAACATAGTAAATATGATATAAAATTCTTTACGAGTCTATGACAATTTTAACGTTTATAACACTTCATTTATGAATAATAAGAAAAAAAAATGTACAGTTAGCTTTTCAATAACAAATAGTTTTTAAAAATTTGATTATTTTTTCTATCAAGAGCATGTCTGTCTCTAAAGTTTAATCATGACTATGAATTTCCTTTCCTCAGTTGAATCACTAAGCAATGGAAAAGGATGTCAATGCCTCTAGTGTTACTCTTCGAAGAAAATCATTCACCTCTCTACCCATAGATATAACTTATAGGTTTAAATATCTTTTTTTTCTCACCAATATAACCTGAGACAGGCATAAACTCTGTCAAAAAAAAATTATAAAAAAAAAAAGAAAAAGAAAACTGAGACAGTATGACAGACAGAGACACCCTTTTTTGACAAAGAATCTACCATCTAGTCTAAGTACGAAATAGGCGCATCTTCTGTACTTTGAGATATGACTTTATTCATGGATTTGGTTATTATTTGAATTAAATTTTAATACTTCAACATTCTGATTAAGAAATTATGAATTGCATATTACATGGTACTCTATATTTTCTTACAGATGATTTGTGATCTGATATATATATATATATATATGTGTGTGTGTTGAAAACAGGCCAGTGCTTGATCAAAACTTGTACAACATGGGTATGAAGAACACCTCAACAACGTTTGCATCGGCCACAGTTAATGTTCTCCCAGCCATTACTTTTATAATGGCACTTATTTTCAGGTAACTAGATGCTTCAATCCTTTCACCATAATGTAATGACAGCTCGCAAAAGTAAAAGCACACTCACACAAGGAACAACTGAGTACTCTCTCCACAGTACACATATATTCTTGACAGTTATCATCACCCTTGATTTAACAATTTTTTGTTGGAACATTTCAAAAGAGAAAATGCCATTTTTGTCATTATTTTCTACTAAGAATATTTTGTTATTTACTTTCTTCATTTAACAAAAAAATAGACAAAAAAGTACATGTTTTTAAAGTAAGAGACTGAAAAATCTGATAAAGATAAGGTTAAGTTTCAGTATATAGATGTTAAAAGATCTTAACTTAGTCAGTTTTGTAGACTTAAAGTTTAATGATTTTAGTAGATATAAACACAGTATATCCATTATTAGTGGGTCAAAGTTAATTAGTGGAACACGATCAATTACAGGATATTTTCATCCACTAACCTATATAGTGATGGACAAGACCATGCATATAGTATGGGACCACCCGTTGACAAGTGTCATAACAAATGGGTCATACTCACATACTTTTAAGAATATCCATAATATATATATTAATCAAAACTTTGATGTATTGCAATCCAACGCGATATGTGTTTGGAAGTTGCTTTAAGCAAAGAACCAAGAATTTCAAGGGATGCATAATGCATGATGCCTAATGATATTATATTATTCTTGCAATGTTGTAACCAGGTTAGAGACAGTGAATTTGAGAAAAATACACAGCATGGCCAAGGTAATTGGAACCGCAGTAACAGTGACAGGAGCCATGGTTATGACTTTGTACAAAGGGTCAGCCCTTCACTTTGTCAAGGGTCAAGCAACCCACCATGAAAGTGGCAGCACCACACAACCATCTGAACAAAACTGGGTGCTTGGCACAGTAATGCTCCTAGCAAGTTGTGGTGGTTGGGCTAGTTTCTTTATCTTGCAAGTATAACACTATCCTTGCACTTTCTTTTTCTTCCATTTATTAATTATTTTATGACCTTATATATAGTTTTATATAATAAATTCTAATCTTATTTAAATATGTTTTGTGAATATTACAGTCTTTCACTTTGAAGATGTACCCCGCAGAGCTCTCGGTGACAGCTTGGATTTGCTTTTTGGGCATTTTTGAGGGTTCAATTGCAAGCCTTATATTTGAACGTGACATGAGTGTGTGGTCCATAGGCATGGACTCAAGGCTTCTTGCTTGTGTTTATTCTGTGAGCACCTTTTCATACACTCTACCTACCCATTTGTTGCTCATACCTTTTACTTTTACTTTTCAATTCATTAACCATTAATTTCAACCCTAATTGTTTAGTTTAATTGTTAATGGTTTTGATAACTGACTAGGGTGTGGTGTGTTCTGGAATGGCATACTATGTACAAGGAGTTGTGACCAGGGAACGTGGACCTGTGTTTGTGACTTCTTTCAGTCCACTGTGTATGATTATCACTGCTGCATTGGGATCCATTGTCTTGGCTGAGCAAGTTTACATGGGAAGGTAAGCAAATATGCAATGTTGAATTATCATATATATATAGTCTCTCTCTTTATTACCAATGCCAAAATCAAAAGTGTGTTCTATTTGCAGTGTAATTGGAGCTATTATCATTGTGACTGGACTTTATACAGTGGTATGGGGAAAAAGCAAAGACAGTGTGAACAAAACCGAGGCAGAGAAAACTGAAGGCCAAGAATTGCCAATTAAGGACAGTGCAGCATCAGAATCAGGCATTTTTGACAGCATTGAGATCAATGTTCCTTCTGGGCAAGGAAGGAATGTTCTTGCATCACCAAGAACATAAATAGGTCCCTTAGGACTACTACCATAACAGATTTTCCTACTAATTATTGAAATGATATCTAGAGGGATTTTGTACTATGTTCAAATCTTTCTCTCAATAGCTGTTATATAGTGGCAGCGTTTTGCTATGTACCTTTTTCTTGTTTTGCTTTGACCCTTTATATGTTGCTGGAGCTTGAGTAAGAGTGAAATAACGCATTGATGCTTTCGTCTCTGTTTTTGTTCTTGAGGTCTTCTCTTACTCTTTTGGTGTGTTTTATTTTTCTTTCGGATTTTCCCCGTCATGTGTTACATTTTTTTTATTACTTCTTTAATTTATTAAAGATAATTTACACTATGTTAAGGGAGGAAAAAAGATAATTTACACTATGCTAAAGAGAAGAAATAATTAGATTGTGTTAGCAGTGAAAAACAAGAAAAAAAGTTCATAGAAAATGACAGCTATTTAAATAGAGAAAGTTTAGATGAAGGACAAATAAAGATATTTTTATTTAGTTTTTATATAAACTTTTTTTGTTTTTTTTTCACAGAAGGGAAGGAAAGAATCACATAGGTCTTATTTCTTTTGTTTTCTGTCTTACCAAACAAAAGAAATCTCCAATTCTTATAATCTTTTCTTTTCGTCATCTTTTGTTTTTCTCCCTTTCAATATTAACAAATAACAAATAAGGATGGACTGTCGTTAGTACTAAGGACAATCGTTAGTACCAAGGACAAAAATAAATTGGATGAAAAGGTACCTTTTATAAACTAAGTATAAGATTAAGATTAATTACTTTGTATAAATATATATTTATTATAAAATCATATAGAAAATATGGGCTAAGCCCATTTCATGATCAATACAGATGAGATTTTATTTATTAATATTTTATAATATTTAATAATATTTAACACTCACAATATATCATATAATATATAAAAACATTTAATATATATATATATATATATATATATATATAATACTTCTTATCAAGCTCGTGTAGATAAATACATTCTAAATATAATTAATTTCGGGTTCTTAAAAAAACTTAGTAAAAATATATATTAATTGGTCATTTGAGTTAACAATCTCAATTTTGATGTCTTGAGATATATTTTTTTTCGAATAAGTAGTATGATTGTCACATATAAGTTTCATTTGAGCGACATCTACCAATTGCAATTCTTTAAGTAACTATTTAAGACAAATAATTCATAAGTTATTGAGATCATAACTCTATATTTTGCTTTCGCAATAGATCTAGCCTCAACATTTTATTTCTTGTTCCTCAAAGAGATGGTATTATCATCAATTTGAGAGTGAATCTTCTATCAAAAGGAGATTCACTCCAATCAACATTTTATAGTGTCGTTATTATGATCATATAACAAACTTTTCTTAAGAGATCCTTTAATGTTCTTTAATATACAAATGATTGAATTCTAGTGATCTCCACAAGAGAAATTAACAAATTGACTCAACATATAGACTATAATGGAAATACCAAGATGAGTAACAAAAGATGGTTAAACTTCCCAACTAATCTTTTGTACTTCTTAAGATTTGAGTGAGGCTTACCATGATTAGGTAGGAGTTTAGTCTTTTGATCCATGGATATATCAACAAATTTTGAGTTCATCAACCTAGTTTCATCCAACATCTCTAATCCATACTTTGACATATAATAATACCATTGTTGGGTTATGTTACTGTCGAGGCTATCAAAAATCGAGAAAATGAAAAAGAATGTTGAAGTGAAGACATAAAATAAATTGTGCGATATAAGTAAAAGAATGATGTAGATATTAGAATTGCAAAGCAAAATAACCGTGTTTGGACAAAAAGCAAGAGGGGGATGAATTTATTTCTTAATAAAAATTGTGCCTTAAAAAAATTCCCCTTTTTAAATATGATACAACAAAAGATCAATTCCTTTAATGTAATCCACAAATAATTAAAGAGAGTAGGGAAAGAGAAAATTTTCCTTCGTTTTTATATATAAAAAAACAATGGTATTTGATCCAAAAGCCAAGCAAGAACATCATTCAAAACTAATAGATAACATAAATTAATTAAAAATATTAAGTAACCGAATATAAAACAATTAATAAAAGGGTTAAATATGTTTTTAGTCCCTCAACTATCAAGCGATTTTGTTTTTTGTCCTTATTTCAAACTTTGTACACTTTGATCCATCTCTTTAAGGAAATCATAATTTTTGGTCCTCCAAAACAATCGGCATTAAAAATCAGGTAAGGTGGCTAACGTTTGGCCACGCTGGAAACTTAGAAACTCTCTCCATCTCTGCAACATTTGATATTTTTCAATGCAAAGTCAAAACAGTGGTCACACACGAACGCTAACACACCTCCACTAACTCAGGATGTCGCCGGCAACGTTTGTTGCCGCCAGGGAAGCCATCGGAGTTTCCCTTCCTTTTCTTCCAAGCATTAGGGTTTCTTCCTTCTTTTTCAATCTCTGTAACGATCATCAGGAATGATAAAGGCACCATCACGCTCCACTCCAACCAGATTCGCAGCGAGTGGCATATGGAGCCATTAGGGGTGTCGTCAACGCCAGCGTCTCCTTCTTCGATCGATCTGCACCGGCCATCGCAACTTTAAGCTTCAATGCCAAATTGTGTGTGTCATTTGTGAAGAGTGTCGTGTTCTGTCTGTTGAGACCGCAGAACAGAAGAAAAATTAAGGTTATTAATCTAATGAATTGGTGGAAGTGTGGCGTTTAAATGTGGAGAAGGAAGGTTTTTTGTGATATATATATATATATATATATATATATATATATATATATATATATAAAATAGAACTTTGAAGAAGGAGGGGTGGAGAATTCTGGCAAACACGACATCATGGGTGGGGTCATGAGAAATGAGCACTGAATTGGAGTATCATTTCGTTTTCCAGAATTTTCTAAAACCAGACATGTTACAGAGGATGGAACCTTTCAAGATTCCAACTTGTTGGATAAGCTTTTGACCATGTTTTCTGTAGAATGAGATCCCTTCGTGTTCCAAGTCCAATCTTAACTACAGATTTCTTATGTGTCTGGTTACACTCCAATGAAGATAACTCCTCTGAGTCACTGTCTTAGCTGAGAAAAGTGCCCGAGACCAACAAACATGGCTTCCGATCTCAAAAATCTAAGGAATGCATTAAAAATCAAGAAAATTGTCACAAATCTAAGTTAGCCAATCACAAAGCAAAAATGAACCTGTATGTCTTAGTCTACAATTTTTCTGCAAAAGGAAACCAAGTTTCAATTGAATGTGAATCTTGGCAATTTGAAATTGCATTTAACTTTTGCTTCAATGTGTTAAAGATATTTTAGCGGCATGGCTAACTTTTATAAATGAAATTATATTTCCTTTTATTTAATTCTTCTGCTGTGACATGGATGCAACATGTAGTAGACTCTAATGGCTGAGGTTTTGGAAAACCAATTGAATGCAAAAATCTGGTTGTGTTTCAAATTTTGAAAGTGTTTGCTAGAGTTTTAAGTAGAGATTGTAATGTTTTCCATTAAACTCTAAACTTACAGTTGTTTTTATTTGAAGCTTGATTTATACTATGGTCATTTTGTGGTTGCTTGTTTCGGCAGCTAATAGATACTATGATCATTTGCAGGTGTAGCTTGTAAAGATGATTAATGAAGCTACTTCTAACTTACCTAAATGGGATTCATTAAATAGAAGCTGAGAAAAAGAAAATAAACCACAAATCCTCAGGCCTCTCATGCTATGGCTATTAGATGGCAACCAACAATTTGGATTACATAAAAATAAACCTATTTCACCCCAAGATCTCTGATTAATACAAAAAAGATATTTTTGTGCTACATCTAAAAACTAGATGTTTTTTTCTGTAGCAAGTCAAGTGTGGGTATTAAAGTATAGAGCATTTATAGTTTGTTAGTTAACCTTTTTTCAGTAGGCTTTTTCAGAGGGAAATCAATGGAAACAACTTATTATCAAAATATTATATCGATAGTTCAATGTATCAAATATGTAGTGAAAAATGAGAACGGAAGCAAACACCCAAAGTTTTGAATTGAGTGATAGTATATTTGTGCATTATACATCTCGGTTTAAAGTGGTAGTGATTTCCAATGAGCATGTTTAAGAAAAATCAATAGATCAGAGATTGACCGTGATGGTGCCTCTATTGTTCCTAATGAAAAGATATTGAAAAAGAAGGAAGAAACCCTAATGCTTGAAAGAAAAGGAAGGGAAACTCCGGTGGCTTCCCCGACGGCAACAAACGTCGCCGACGACAGCCTGAGTTAGTGGAGGTGTGTTGCCATTAGTGTGTGACCACTGTTCTGACTTTGCATTGAAAAATATCTAACGTTGCAGAGAGAGAGGAGTTTCTAAGTTTCCAGCGTGGCCAGATGTTAGTCACCTCACCTGATTTTTAACGCCGTTTGTTTTGGAAGACCAAAAATTATGGTTTCCTTAAGGAGAGGGATCAAACCGTACAAAGTTTGAAATAGGGACGAAAAACAAAATCACTTGATAGTTGAGGGACTAAAAACATATTTAACCCTTAATAAAAACAATAAAAGATTACAAAAGTATCATAAATATTTAATCAAAGATTTACTATTTCTATCACATTTTGTAACGCCCCACCCCAAGTTTAAGGTGTCACGGGTTATTCAAAAATCATAAATTTCAATTTTCTATCATATTGTGAAAACATATTTTTCAAAATCTTAACATTTAAACATGCATATAATTTATTCAAAGAATATGAGTTCCAAAATACTTGTCAATTACATTATTCAAAATAACGAAAATAACGAATGAAATAAAATAACTCCAGTTACATTGTCTATAATTT